ATGCTCAGTCAGCGTTTCATGAATATCAGAGACGCGATGAGGCGAAAGAAACAGCTTCGAGATGCGTTTCCACTTTTTTTCCTATTTTTTTTATCTCTGGTGTATGGTTTCAACAAACTTTAACTATGCATAGAACGTTACCAAAAATAAAAAACAAAAACAAAAAAAGAAAAAAAAGAACGTTTAAAATTTAAGTACCTGTGGTACTGGGCCAAGAAAATTCAATTTAGAACTTTATCATGTCCAGAGAATCAATAATGTTTACACACGGTAATTACATTATATGTTAGCTACAAATAACGTTCCAGGAAAACATTTGAATAAATCACATTTAATTTGATGTAATTGTTTACACAATAATTATCTATATAAAATATTATAATGAAATTACAATTATTGATATGAAATATGCTCATATATGTAAATTATAAAGATTTATTTATATTTCTTAGAATATAATTTCAACAATCTTTTAACAAACACACATGCTATACATATATTTTAATAAAGGTACACTTTCAATTTAGAGAAAAAGAAGAGCAATCGAGTAAGGGAAGAAAAATTAAAGGAATATAATCTCTCAGTGTCCCTCGCTAAGCGTTTTCAATTTTCATTAAACGTTCTTTTATTATAAAAGAGTATAAATCAGTCTAAAAGCAATTATATTGCTCAATTTTATTAAAATTAATGCAAGATAAAAGAATATGCGGCAATTGCGTGCGCGCTTTTATTATTTCTATAAATTAGAATAAAATAATAATATTTCAGGTGAGCGAAACGAACTGTACCGATCAATCGTATAACAGAGTTTTCCTTGCCATTTACCGCAATCCTCTTGATTTTATACTTTTTTTTTTTATTTGATAAGTAAACGTCAATATTTTTCTCTCTTCGCGGAAATGAAAATTAACACACAGATATTTTATATATATAAACTTGGCTCTCAATTTTTCATAAATTAAGTTTTCAATATAGAAAATGATAATAGTCGTTTGTAATTTATTTATAGTAACAATAATTTCGTGTGTAATCGAAGCTATAAAAAAAATACAATATTTCGAAAAGTATGAAAACATTGTTTTCAATATATTATTAAAAGTAAGGGACCGAATTTATATCCACTAAAATTTGTGTTCATCCACTAATTTATTCCTCGCAATCGATATAAAAAATAAATTTCTGTGATTACGAATAGAAAGTTTAATTTTAAAATTCGTCATCGTTAAAGATTTTCGCATTAAGCTAAAAGAGTGTGTTTAGCGAATTGATATCTGATGCATATGACGTGCGTAGTATAGCGCAAATATTAATATAATATTTAATGCAATATGACATATAAAAGTACGACAAATATATTATCCGACTTTTCATTTAATCCAAAGTATCAAAAGCGCCGTGATATGCTTACGCAACTTGTTGTAGCGTTAATTAATACTACGTTGTATAAGCAGTTTCGTGTTTTTACCGTGTGCGTGCTTCTATATATATGAACAAACACTTCGAACAAACTCTGACCATAAACCCTTGGGAAATTTGTTTACTCAATAGAACATACCGCACCCTCCCCTCCCCTCCCCCCCT